TGGACTGGACTAGATCATGCAGCAAACCGTGAGGAGCGAGAAGATGGGCTGGCTGGACCGATGAAAAGAGCCTAGGAGATTAGGATTTCGCCAATGATCTATGTTTAATGTCGCACAAACTCGAAGATGTACAGGCGGAAACTACCAAGTTGAGAGAAGAGGCGAGGCAACGAAGGCGCGACTTCAAGTGAACGTAGAGAGTTGATGAAGATACCCAACCACCGCTGACACCAATCACCATCAACGGGAGAAACTTAAAGAAAGTAGTCTGTTTCACCTACCTAGGCAAGACGGCATCGTTTCAGCTACAGGTGGGGACACAGATGAAGATGTCAAAGCCGGGATCGGAAAGATATCAAGACAGGGCTTCATTCACCTGAAATCGGTGAGGAGATCGACTGCCCTGAGCATAAAGAACGGGATCCAGATTTTCAACACTGATGTCAGTCAAGTCAGTGTTTCCATGTGATGGTTCAAAAACTTGGCGTGTCACGAAAAGCATTTCTAACAAACTACAGACATTCCATCAACAGGTGCCGCCTACGCTCACTCGATACTGAATATCAGATGGCCAGAATAATGGGAATAAGCAACAAGGAACTCTGGGAACGAACCAACCAAGAACCTATCACGCAACAAATATGCAGAAGAAAGTGGAGATGGATTGGGCATACACTGGGAAGGTCGACTGGGGACATCACGCGCCAGGCGAGGTCGTCGAGTGGAATCCAAAGGGGAAACGACGAGTTGGGCGTCCGAGGCGAGGGTGACATGGAGGAGATCATGTGAGGAAGAACTGAAACATTGTGGGCAGTCGTGGAGCCAGGTTGAGATGACAATGAAATGGAGACGTTCAATTGAAGTTGTTTGTTCCAGTGGGAGCCTGGGGCCTGAAATATTTTAATAATAATGCACACCTAGTTCTCATGACAAGTTAGTTGACTGTTGGCACCTATTTTTTGAAATGTGTTTGTCTGTTTGTTGCGGTTACTTCTTGTGTAGTGATAGCGATTTAGAAGTTGTGACGTTAAGTGATTTTGCCAAGTCTGATATCGGTATTGGCTGCTTGACGTATAACGTATCAGTGGTCTCAATATGGAACAAAGTTAAAATCCCTTCATTTAGATATATACTCTTTCTTTATGTCTATCTGAGGTATTGAACTTATTAGTATTTTAGAAATTGATTGCTGATCATTATCACCAAGTAGGTAGTGTCACTACTTAACGTGACATCACCCCAACTGGGAGTCCCACCTTTGGTTTGTTGAAGCTATTAATGACCCTTGTGTTAAACTTGCTTATTCACCGGTATTTTTATGCAAATGTGAACCAACATTATGCTGGCATTTGTTGTATATGGGTGAATGGTTCATAGATCTTAAATGAGATGAAGTTTATCGGTAAATCAAGGTCTACAGGAAAGTCTTTATTGCGAATACATCTTAATCAGTGATATGCAGATATGTCTTATAGATGGTTGTCAACAGACACGAAACCGAGTTTTCAGAAGTTTCCGTGAACTGATTCTCAGCATTGACACTTAACATCTTACACGGGACTGTTATTTCTCTTAGCTCAACGAACTTCGATCGGTACTTGGGATCTGGTGGTTATATGGGTTACCGTATGGTACAGAAATTTTGATCCTGTTAACTCATTTCAAGTTTCTACTAATGAAACCATGCTTTTTGTTACAGTTTGTCTTTCGGCAACTCGAACTTTCTACACTGAATTTTAGCTTTATGGACATCAAGCTGTTTGAACTCTGAAATCTGATGTCTTAGTATGATCCTAAAAGAGATGAATAATTGTGGTGAAAAACTTTTAGATGTGGATGATCTCCTTACTTATTATTCCAATAAATTTTTGTTTAACATGAAATTCAGCTGTAATTCATCTTCAGATAAGTTGTTGTCTCTGTTGTCTCCATTCTTTACCTCTTCTTTGTATTTATATTTGGTCGGAATCCCTGTTTAACGTCTGTTGTGTAATAATGGCTTGAAAACCCTTTTGTTAGTTGTCTACATATCGTATGACTATACCTTCAATCCTCCCGTTCTCATTTGAATAGGCTTAGTTTACCTACCAGTTAACTAGCATATTAAAGTGTACCTGTTTTTTTCATGATGCACACTGTGTAGTGTTAATTTATCAGTAAATTTATTTTCTGTCATTTAGACGGCTGTGGTTTACCAGACTCGCATATAAATACTGAGTGGTGATTGAGGGTGAAATGAAAAGTTGAGCCGCGACGGGATTCGAGCTAACGGCCATCGGGTTTCCAACCCAGTGCTCTATTAACTGAGCTACGAAAGCTGACCACATTTTTATTTAACCTTCTATCATCATCTAGCATCAATACTAGTCTGCCAAATCATGACTATCTCAGATAGTCAAAACGTTGAACAATATGATGCACTCTCTCTCCCTCTAATTTAGTTAGATTTGGATTAGAATGAGAAGTCCTGACTAGGTAGCCGGTGTGAATACGATCAAGTGTTAGTAACGCACCGCAAATTCATGTGGTAGTCGGGCAAAACCGTTGGTAATTGAAGTGAAATAAAAAGCTGGTCAATATTCAGGTCTCGTAGCTCATTGAATTGGTAGAGCATGGAACTAGAAACCCAGTGGTCACTGGTTCGAATCTGGTCGTGGCCCAGATTTTCATTTTACCTTCAATCATCAACCAGTATCATATTTACTTCTATCCTTATCTGCTTAATTACCTTTTAGCTGATATTTCTGTATATGCTTTCTTCTGTTGTAAATCTCATAATAGTCAAAGTTATAACTTAATTTTTTGGCTGATTTCTTGTTAGCAACTATGATTTCATTTGTTTATTTACTATTGCTTTTAAAATAGTTTCGAAAAGAACAAGTGAGCTAACAATAATGACAATAATTGATAATAGTCTAACAATAATAAATGATAATATCGTAAAAGTATATATTTCTTTTACAATAGGTTGTTTGTCTAGAATTCAAGTGGTTGAAAATTAATAGTTAGTTTACACATAGATTTGCATAAAGCTCATCGCTTCAACAGACAGAGAGATAGATCGTCCATCACAATTCAAATATCCTCATTCCATAATCGCACATGGAGCAGAAGTGAACTTCAGTTGAACGAGGTTAAAATCAATACGAATGACCATATGTTATCGATTACTATTTATGGATATATTTACGTACATATACATGTATATACATGAATAGTAATAACTAATGCCTGTTGTACAAGAGGTGGTGGGTATAGTGCCTCTGTGGTCTAGTTGATAACGCCTTAGCATTTGAAGCGATGTGTATGAGGTTCAAGTTTTGGTGGGAGGTATACGTGCATCCAACTGATGAATGGGTCCCAAATAAAACGAAACACGTGTCCTGGATTCTTTTGCTAGCCATAACGAAGTAAATTATCATATATTGTCTATTTGATAAAAATGACCAAATTATCCAAATAGTACTGGATATTATGGGATTTTATTTGTGAAACACTCTTGAATTGGAAATATATTGGTTCTTCGTAACAATAGCCAGTAGTAAGAAAGAGTATACACCTAAAAAGGATTCATGAATTCGCAGGATTGATGGAATTTTATACAGTAGTAGTATACCTATTCTCTTTTATGTTTTAAATTTTCAAACATTCTTTCTGTTGAAAATTATTTAAACTGTACACTGTTCCAAATTTTTATGGTTAACGTATTAGTTAATAAGACTTTATAATCTTAAATTAAATATCATTAACCAGTTTATATCATTCCTAATAAAACTGTATTCATATTTGGTGATTGTATCAATGGGTGTTGAACTGTGGTAATTATTCATCGACTGGAATCCAATTTGCAGTGAACTGTGTGTTACTTGTTTATTTAAACAATTTATATATTCTTTCCTGTTAGTATATTAATTAGTACAATGTACATCATTACCGTTTGATTTACAAAAGCTATGTACTAGGTGTATCTAAGGGGCTTAAAATATTAATCACCTTATGGATATTAACTAATGGTTGTTATAATATATTAGTTTTTCATGTTACTTTTTCTCTTCTTATGTAAGCAATAAAATAGTGATTTGATCTTGATAAATGATTACCGTAGTAGAATGCAGTAGTAAATGGTCAACGAAATCGTGCTAGATGTTTCTTATCCAGCTATAAAGTAATCAGAACAGATCAGAGAAGAATAATTTCTGAATGAGTTCATTCGCTGACCAAGCGATGATTAAAATCAGTAGTGCTTAGGTATTTATGAGATATTAGGATGTAATCTTATAGGATGAAACAATGAGAATACACAAAAAGATTAAGCGTGATAAAACGAAAGGGTTTTTTGTACTGATTTACTAGTTTTATTGATATCATGCTTGTCTCCTCTTATTCATCAATCTAAAGAGTTGACTAGTGATAGTGATCTAATCTGCTAAAGTTAAAAGTCTATTAAAACTGCAATAGTTTTTAAGAAAGTGTAATATAATATTGTATTATTCATGAATTATAATCTACTGTCAGCTGATTCTCGGGAGTTGTTTCCATAAGCCATTAATTTAAAACAAAAGAGAACTTTTCTTATAGATCATTATCAAGAAATATTCAGCATCTTAACAGTGATGATTTCATTGAATTTATGACTTGTATCATCATATCTCGCTGCTAAGAACTGGTTGTCAACAGAACCATATATATATATATTTCAATAGATCATAAGTCGATCCATTGTAGAGTGTGTTCTTCAAAATGATTAGTTGATATTTTTGGGAGCACTGAAAGCAAGATCTCTGAAACTGGAGTGATTTTCTCTCCTACACTCGTATTCCTGTATACCAAGGATTATTTGACTATGATAATTAATTAATTAATTAGGATATTGACTTAGTTGATAGTGAATATTACCCATTTATTCATTGTGATAACTGTTATTGTCTCTCAATGTAATTATGCTTCATTAAGTTGAAATATTTATTTTCTGTTATCTTCATATTATTTTCAAAATTTAGAATGTTGAACGATTGGTTGAATTATTTCCTGGTGCAAGTAAATTTGATTATGCCAGTGGAGAGAACTGTGTTTTCTATGGACGTTGTAAAAGATGTTCAGTTCATTTGAAACCAAGTACGTTTTTTCTAACACTTATTAACTATAGAGTATCTTGATAAAGTTGTACTTCTTGATACCTTGATTTATATTTTATTACGATTTACTGAAATGACTCTGTTCAAATACTACTACTACTACTGCTACTACGTGATATTCTGTGTTCACTCTATTAGGTTTTGAGTTGTAATGTGCATTTCTAATAATTTTTACGTTTACTCTGTATCTGCTTTGTCTCTGTCTCTCATATGATGATACATCGGCTATTAGTCTAGCAGTTGTATGCAAGTAAGAGTAAGCTTTTCTGATTCGATTATAGTGTTATGCATTGTATTTGTTCGACAATATTCTGTCTTGTACTTTTATGTAAATATAATCCTAAGAACTAATTTGTTTCTAGAATTTAAGTTGTTGGAATCAGTTTTTTGTTTGTTTGCATAATTTAGTGTTATTACCGTTTCTGCTTTTCTTTATCTACAAGTTTACTTTATCGCCTAGTCACCGATTGCCTCGTCATACAATGTTGGCTGAGGTGGGTCCAGGCTGGAAAAAGGCCCGAGGTGGCCAGACTAAAACATGGCACCAATGTATGAAGTCTTTGACTGTTGGTTTAAGCCATGTAGGACGATGCAGACTAGGTGGTTGGGTTCCTTGGGACAAGAGGAACCAGTGGTTGGAGACCCTAGGTGATATGGCTCAGAACCGAAGTCAGCGGCGCAGATGTATACACACATTATCCTCATCTTAACAACGCTATACCGAATCTCACCATTTTGTCACTCCTCTTTCCTTTCTTCTCGTACTTTATATTTCTTTTGACTGCATTCACTTATCTTCATCCTTCACCTCACTACCTTTTTACTTGATGTGCTGACATGAGGTGTGGCAACTAAGACCGTTACGCAGTAATGCCTGGTCCTATGTTGATAATGATGATGATGATTACTTTATCGACAGGCAAAGATTGGATTATGGTATAGATTATTCCTGTAAAACACGTCTCATATGTATGGAATTTATGTAAGTAAGCAATATGCCTGTTACCACTAAAGATTAACTACTTTCTCGAATGGATAATGCTTGAGGTAAATAAACTAAAGGTAATGTGTGTATTCACATTATTACATCTTTATTTGATGGACAAGAATTTTTGGCATAATCATTCACCTAGAGGTATGCATTTTTTTTTCGCCTTCAATTATCATATTATCGTACATTGTATGTAGTCATAGATCCTTGTTTGAATGCATTTTATAAACTTAAACAAAAGACTGAGATGTTCATGGAGATGAACATTTTTGAATTCCGTTACAGTCTTTAACACCTAGTCGCATATGAACAAGTTGGTTTAAAATTCTAAGTAATGACAGTGCTGCAAGCCTAAAATCATTGTATCACTCATTAGTAATCATGATTTGTTCAATTCAAAATTCTGTACCGAAATCCCAGGATATTTATGCTCGAGAATAAGAGATACGAGAAAGTTGGATAAGTTTTAAACCTGAACGTGGAAGCCCCCATCAAACCTTGACCCTTCGACAGACTTTAGAACAAATTTATGCTTACCGGCAGCCGTCACTTGCATTATTTCCTAATCTAAAGGTGGTATTCGATTATTTAGACTGAGAGGTGTTGTGACAGTATCTACATATGAAGGAAGTACCAATAAAGTATGTTATGACAAACAGTAACTGTCTACTAATTGTTGACAGTGTAGTTCAGAAAACGTTGTGTGTTGTCTGATTATAAATCCACATCATGACTGACTGTTTTAGATAGACTAATATCTGGGCAACAGTTTGAACAGCCTTTTCATTTGTCGATGCCCTCATGAAATAAAGAAGTGAGAATGTTATAAAAGAAATGCTTGAGAAGTCTTCTTGATGAACGGTGACTGAAGAAACATAAGCTATTAGACGACTATTCGGTAATATGAATCATACACTTTCTGACTTCCTAGTCAATATAATAACGTGAAATTACATGGGTTGTCTCTTATGGATAACATTTTCAACGAAACCTCAATAAAGGACAGGCTGTCTTCTCTCTACTTATTAATTTTTATTCAATTAACGTTCTATTGTAATTAGATTTTCATGGATTGGTCAACAAGCACTGTATTTGTAGTGAAAATTTATATATATATATATATATATATATATATATATATATATATATATATATATATATGGGCTAGCTTTATGACTATCATGGTAGCTAATTCATTCGAGTGATAATGTAAGCTGGAGTTAAAATATAAACATTCACAATCCACACACATACCTTTCACAGTACCATATGATGTGTCAGACTAATTCTACTAAAATAGTTGTGGATAAATAGGGTAGTAGAGCATCTGAAGGTTGGCATTTACGGTTTGTATTACTTTCAGTTGATTATTATTGTCTCCTTTCATTTCTTTTCTTTTATTCAAGATTATCCGTTATTTTTGGGTTAATTAAAATGATAAAGTTGTTAAGCGACTTTTTACTCATTTCGGTTGAACAGTGGTTACAATTCTGTGCACTGTGTACTGTTATGAGGTCCGTTACCATTTACGAACGATATTTCGTCAGCTTCACAGCTGACATCAGTAGATAGATAGGTGGATAATATCCATGTGGAACTTGACATTACCACCTGACGGTTCAAGAAGTGAGGAAGAAAACAGCTGAAAGTGATAGAAAGTTGTAAACAGAGAGTAGAGCGAACTGCAGCTCACTACACTTGGCCCTTAATAGACAGTCGGATATCACGGTGGTATCATACATGGTGTAAGTTGGCAAAAACTAATCGAATCTTTTGTATTTTTGCCGAGATTCTGTCGATCATTGATTTACCAAAGCTGATACAACTTGTCAGTGAAATAGTCAACGCACTCAATCACTTCGCTCCTTATTGTTATACAAGGCGCCGTTTAAGACCAGTCCTTGAGCAACAGTTTGCATTTCAGTATTAAGAAACGCATCCCGAATATTCTCAAATTGTCACTCAAGATTTGTAATAGGCTCTGGCATACATGCTTAGTATATGTAACTCATACACAACTAAAAACAGGTCGATACAAGTATCTATAAGAAAAAATCACCCGGTAATATGCCAAAGGAACTTATGATATTTACACAAGTTTTTATTATATATTCTTAGTTTCTTTATGAACATTTACGTGACTGGTTCACTTCCAGGCATAAGCCCTTTTCATTAAGAAAAGTGTATTATCTCTTTATACGATATACCTTACCACCAGTTTCCTGATGTATTTGCTTTTGACCTCAAATTCGGGTATAAAATCATACCCCATTTTATTTAACATAATTAGGTGAATGCTACTAGTCCCTTTGATAAATTTAAACAGCGTAAATGAAAAGAGGAAGAAACCAACTTACTGGTGAAAACACTGATACAGAATGGCTACCCGTTAAGATTTATCGACAGGTGCAAAAGTTATATACCACTGATAAGTACATCCTGTTTCGTTGCTAAGACAAATGTCTACATCTCTTTACCTCTTAGAGGTGATTCACATAGCTTTGTTGTGAGGAAAAGACTTAGATCGGCCATCTGTAAAACATATTACGCAGTCAAGATCATCATTGTAGAGAAGACAAAGTTCAAGTTACAGCACAAACCAAAATAACACATAAACGATTGCACCACATTCCACTGTGTTTATCAATTTACATGTATATGTGGACACATACATAGGGAGGAGTAATAGTGATATTCATTTAAGGAAGTTTGGACATATACGTAAGTTTAGAAGTAGTATTCATCATGGACTGACATCAGTTGGGGGACCATTGAAGATCTGAGAGCACTGGATAGCTGTTTCGTCGTAGTATTAGGACTCTTCAGCAGTACTCAGAGTTCGACCTCTAGCCGGGTCGTGGGTGCGTACTTCTGAGGAGTCCCATACTAGGACGAAACAGCTGTTTAGTGCTCCCAGATTTTCAATGGTTCCCCAACTGATGTCAGTCCATGATGAATACTACTTCTAAATTAAAAATCCCCATTCATCTCAAAAATATATACGTAAGTGTCTGCAAAAACAAATGACCTCAACAGATCCGATAAGTGCAGGTGACAAACATCTATCTTCGTCTATAGCTGAATATATACTAGAAACTAACCGTAGGATAGACATGAAAACAGCCTTTAAAGTACTACATAAAAGTGGTCAGAGCCGAGTGTTTAAATTTACTGAAGCTCTTGCCATCCGTAAATTCAAACCCCCTTTATGTATACAAAAACAGTTTGTAAATTTTCACATAAACAGTTCGACAAGTCCATGTGTGATCAGAATGTTCGAAATGTATAGCGCTAATACATCACATGTTTCAGATAATCTTCGTCTTCTCATTACGCTATTTCAATGCTAGATTACCTTTTAAATAATCTGAACATTGTTGCAGGTGTATTTTTATGTGTGGAAGTCTTTTACACTTTCAGAGGAATACTTTCCATGTTTCAGTTAGGTTTTGTGAACCACTGGGGATGGAAGTGATTTAGAAGGTTGAATAAATGTCTAGCGGGTAAATTTAGCTGTTTGCTTCACTGTTGGTGCTCTCCTAACTCAAGCTGAACTTCTACTGATAATATGGAAGGATTGAGTTTGAATAAACATGGGCTCATTATTTAATTCATCCCAGAATCTAGCTAACTAGATAGACAGACTGTTAGGCTCGCTATTTGTAACAATGACCATACTTATGAGACAGGTAAACTCAGGTAACATTTTGAAATGTACCAAATTAGTGAATGTATAACGATTGAATTTAGGTAGGTGAAAGTTATCTTTGTTATATATATATATATATATATATATATATATATATATATATATATATATATATATATATATATATAATACTTAGTGAGTATAATTCTTAAATATGAGAAAACCTAATTTTCATCTGTTGAGGATCGTTGACAAAGTGAAACCTAACGCGTAAAAATACATTTCATATTAGTTGCAATATATATTCAATGCTACTAAAAACCTATCAGTAATATCCTAAATAGTTATTGTGAATGATTGGGCTTATTTCTTCATCCATCCATCCAAATCAATATAGGACCAGGCATTACTGTGTACAATTATGCCTTAATGGTTCAGAGAGTTAATTGGTTTATAATATCTGAATCGTCAGTTTGTATGCACATCATGTCTGGCTTATTCTTTCAAATTAGATTATTATGCAAGCCTTTATATATTAAGGGCAAATATGTATACTCATTTGGAATTTTTCAAGTCAATGAATATAAACCGAATTAGATCTCTTTTTTAAGAACTGATCTTATAATAAACCCTTACTTTAATCATCCCCTTCTTTTTCTACCTTTCATTGATAATATTTAGATCAAGCTTGCCTGGATTATTATGATGCTTGCTTTTACTGTTTAAATTGTCATCAACTACAAAAAACATTTATTCCTCGTGATATTATAATGAATTGGGATTTTTCACTAAAACCAGGTATATCCTTTTTAAAAAATTAGTAGTTTTACTGACCAAAATACTTTTTTTCATGGTTAAATAATAACTTTAATGTAAATGTATAATATAACAATAGAACTTGGTAACTTTAACCAATTCTATGGACTGAAATGTTACTTGCATGATGATGATGATGAAGTTCAGTGACGTTGAGATCGACGGTTGAGATGAAAATCGATCAGCCTCACAATTATGTAGAAGTTTCTGTGACACTGAAATGATATGATATGCAGGCGAATTTAATTAGTCTCTAATATAGGCGTATAACTTGGGTACTGTGATCAGTCGTAATTCCATTTTAGTCTGTTTGTTGGGAATATCACACAGTGAAACAGTATCACTTAATGGATAACGTTTCAGAAACAGTTTATTCTCCATATTCATATCAGGTAACTCCACAACTTCGAGACAGAGTTTATATGGTCCTAGTTTCCTCTCCTTCTCTCTGTGATGACAAGGGTGGTAGAATTTTTCATATATCTAGGGCAGATGATGAATCGTTTCGATTGTATGCATTTGGTGTTGATTCGACAAACAAAGATTTGGTTACCAATCTCTCCCTCCACCCAAATAAGTTAGTTTTCAACACTGTTGCTCTATCCCACTCTACTGTATGATTGTGTGTCATTTCATGCAGAGCTATAGCCGAGCTTTTCTCTAAATTTCTTATCGTATTAGGATCTACTAATCTTGATTTAGTTAAATAATTTCTCTCGCCCTCTGAGACTGGCTATGCTAACTACTTTATATTTGAAAATTAGGTTTATAGAATTCATGATTAGTGCTCTAATCTGACTCATTTAAGACGTATGTTAACTATATCTAATTATCAGTCTGCACATCTTGTGACCAGTAAAGTAACAGTTGCACGAAATGTAATTACCAGAGCTAACAGTGTTGTTACAACGAAAGAGGATAAAAAGGAAGAGTTTAAGTCAGTTTGTTGCACACTGGAAGCAAACAATTATCTCGAAAATTTCGTGAAAAGAGTTTTGAAAAAATGAAATTAAGTATGTACCGGAACTTCCTCCGAAGAACTGGATAAACCCGGTCATAATCTCATATCATAAGTAGACCTCAGAAAAAATAAGAACGATTCTCAACAAAGATGAAATAAGAGCTTACTTTCCTGCAACAAATACACTACACTCTAAATTAATAAAAGTTAAAGATGTAGTACCTAAAGAAAATCAACAAAACTGCGTTAATGAGATCAAATGAGTATATCACAGTGATCCAACGAGCTATGCTGGTGAAATACTTGTTCGCTCGAGGTCCTATCATACCAGAAAGGTTTGTTGGATAGTGGTAAGACGAAAAACAGTTACCATCGTGGTGTAAATTACCACAGTATGATAGGGGTCTGAGGGCGAAGTCGTACTGCTGCTAGCTGGATGGGGTGTGACAGCAGTAAGGTGTTTCCCTTGGATGACCAGCAGTACCATGCTGATGCTGTCTTCTCAGTGGAATGGGGGGGGGGTTAGAAAAGGTCGGCCCCAGAAACAACACACTCCACCCATACCCCACAGTCTGCCGGGCCGGCAGTGTTGGTTCATTTGTTGTTTAATTTCGACCATCCGGCCCCAACAATACCAAAGTTCGAAATAATCATACTCAAAAGGCTACGTGTGACAGGCCTCAAGCAGATGTCCGATGGGCTCTTCGGTCACACAAATCTCTTTCAGGTACCTTAAGAAGAAATAGCCTTCCACAGTATGGACAGCCAGGAAGTGTCAACCGCCATCACAACTCGATCAGCACTCAAGTTTCTTCAAACTGCTAGCCATTATCCATTAAGAGTAGAATCTCAATCAGCTGTTATTTATTTTCAAATTGTTTTAGGACCTGCCTTTAAATTTATTTTCATGATATTGCTTGTAAAGTATTTAAACATTTCACTCTATTCTCTTTCTGTTGTTTTTTTCTTCTACTACAGTTAGTCAGATTACTCATCAGTTCTTAAGCGCACTACACGATGGACCTGTTATAAATCTAGCTAAATTAAATCCTATTTTGTATGCTACTATACCGAATTTATTGATAATTAGACAACTTCGGCGTACCCTAGTACTATTATGGCATCAAATAGTTCGCTGTGATAGAAAAACAGCTATGAGTTTACGTGATTGTTTTCGTTCTCGGATGTATATGCTTGAAAATATAGGTGATATTGACTTATATTCTATAGCAGTAAGTTTTATAGTGTTAACTTTTATCGTTATTGTATTATGCTTAGGTTGTTTTAATGTCTCTCGTGCTCCATGAATTATTATTGTTCATATTTCACATAATGTAATGACGATTTGAGATAGGTAGATATATCAAACTGTTAATCATAGGTACTGGGTGATGATTGAAGGTGAAATGAAAATTTGGACCGCGAACGGATTCTAACCAGCGACTACTGGTTTTCCCTCCTGATGCTGTCGTAGTTCAGTTGATAGAGCATCGGGCCGGAAACCCGGTGGTCGCACGTGCGAATCCGGCCGCGGTACAAATTTTCACTTCACCTTGAATACTAGTCTGGCAAACCATGACTATCTCAGATAGCCAAGATGATAATTACACTACCTGGGATAGTTTGATAAACGAATTGTTTTACACAAGCTGATATCGCTTGTTCTCACCATAGATGAGTAAAAATGTTTTGTTTTAAGTCTATAAAGTAAATGAGATATCGGAATGACAATTATATCTATTACGTGTAAAAAATGGGAGACATTAAGCAACATCCCCGAGGAAATCCGCGTGGAAGAACACTGGAACTCTGTGAAAGTGACATGGAAAGAAACCTGCATAAACCGTGTTAGGAAGGAAGAAGAAATAACTCAAAGAATAGATCTTCATGGAAGCTGATAGAGGAGAGGAAGATGGCGAAGCAGAATATGAACCAGTGCAGTGCAGTGCAGGGATGAACAACGAAAAGAGGAACTTAACACAAGCTATAAAACACTAGACTGGACAAAGAAGTGAAGAGGAGTGTGCGGAAGGACAAAAGACACTTCTACGACACACTTGCTAGTGAAGCAGAACAGGTTGCTGGTAGTAGAGACCTGACAACACTCTATCAAATAACCAGGTTACTGGTTACATTCTAGGAAGAGATCAACACAGATGAAACCAATGATAGTGAAGGAAACCTAGTTACCAAAGAGGAGAAACAAGTGAAACGATGGGCTGACCACTTCAAAAAACTCTCAAATCGATCACCACCACCACCTGCAACGCTTCCAGAAATGCCACCAGCAGCCCAGCCACAGAATTACCAGTGAACATAAGTCCTCCGACAAGATCAGAAGTGAAGTTCTGAACGCTTCTGAAATCCGTGAAAGCAGCATTACCAGATGGAATTCCTCCAGAGGCACTGAGAACGAACTCAGAAACAACAACGGACACGCTTACATCACTATTGAAGAAGGTTTGGATGAAAGGAGGGAAAGGTACCTGCCGAGTGGAAGAACATCTACCTTGTTAAACTCCCAAAGAAGGGAGACATAAGCATTTGGAAGGACTAGCGCGGAATTATGCTGCTGTTTACTTCAAGCCGGATATTATGCCGCATCATCCTGGAGAGAATATAAGATGCGCTGTATTCAGAATTACGACTGGAACAGGCTGGCTTCAGGAAGAACAAATCATATATACATCAGATTGCAACGCTACGCTACGCATCATCATAGAACAGAGTGTAGCATGGCAGTCAACTCTCTACTTTACCTCAACTTCATCAACTTTGAAAAGGCCTTCAACATCGTCGACCTAGAAGTAATTTGGCAGTTGCTTCAACACTACGGAGTACCACTAGTCTTTATCAGCTTCACTCAACAGCTATATGAAAACTTCACATGCCAAGTGATCCATAATGGAAAGCTCAGTGACGCCTTTGAAGTGAAGACAGGAGTAGAACAAGGCTGCGTTCTATCACCGATGATCTTCCTGATTGTGGTTGACTGGACTGGACTAGATCATGCAACAAACTGTGCGGAATGAGAAGAGGGGCGTATGCTGAGTGGATCGATGAAAAGACCTTAGAAGATTTAGATTTGGCCGCCGATGATGACTTATGTCTAATGTGTTGTCGCACAAACTCGAAGATGTACAGGCGAAGACCAACAAGTTGGTAGGCGAGACAGGGTAGCGAAGACAGGACTTTCTTCATGTGAAGGTAGAGAAGACGGAGGTGATGAAGATCCTCAACCAACAACAACAATCACCAATCACCATCAACGGGAGAAATCTGAAGGAAGTACTCTTTCACCTACCTAGGCAAGGTGGCATCGTATCAACTACAGGTGGCACAGGCACAGATGAGGTTTTCAAAGCAGCTAGGATCGGAAAGACAACAAGACAGGCCTTTCTTCATTAATCTGAAATGAATATGGAGGTCTACTGCACTGCAGTGCACTCAGGATAAAGCATGAAGAAGATCCCGATTTGCAACACTGATGTCGGTCAAGTCAGTGCTTCTATACGATGGTTGAGAGACTTGACGCATCACGAATAGCGTTTTAAAGAAACTGCAGACACGTGAGCAACTGCCGACTACGCTCGCTCGATACTGAAGATCATATAGCCAGAAAGAATAAACAATCAGGAACTTCGGCATGCCAACGAACCAACCAAAAACCCATCGTCGAGACAATATGCAGAGGAAATTGGAGATGGATTGGACATACACTGAGAAGATCGTTTGGGGATATCACACACCAGCCCAGGTCGTCGACTGGAACCCAAGTGGAAAAAGACGAGTTGGGAGTCGGAGGATGACATAGAGGAACCAAGTTGAAAAGACTGCAGAGAAGAAAGTGAAATGACGTGCTACTGAAGCCGTATGTTTCACTAGGAACTTAAGGGACTAATAACAATAATAGTAATAATAATGATAAACGTGGAAAATCCTTTAACATCTAGTTAACCTGTCACTTAACTTATTTATACGGTTTTCGTTAGAGAATTCGATACATTTCTCAGTTTTCTTTCGTTGTGAATCGAACATATAGCGTTAAGGCAGAAATAATACGTTTACTAGACTTATAAAGTAATAAGAAATCAACATTATTCCTATATCTTTACTGAAAGCTTCGGATACAGACTTTTATTAGCGTATGATTGTGTGTAAACAATTACCACAAAACCGAGCCACGATAGCCCACTTCTTGTTCGATGGATATAGTTTTAGTATAATTGTTTTTATATCATACTGTCATTGATTGAACCTAACTGATCGGTCTCTATTGGTATATGGTCGAAATGTGCATCCTGGATTCCATAGCTAGCCACGATCCATCATTAACATAATTAGAATGCTGGCAATATCGAGACATTCGCACAGGAGCCCATATACCAATAGAGACTGATCAGTTCGGTCCAATCAACGATGGTATGATATAAAAACAATTATACTAATTATCACAAAATGTTTAGTACAATGAATAATACTCATCACAAATGTACACTTTTATTAAGTTTTTAAAATAACTTTTTCAAAATATCTTTTTAATTTAATTGTATCTGATTCGAACTGTCCACTAACTAATATGGTACACAGTAGTAGTACAGTAGTCATTTGTCTTATTATACGCCCCGGATAAAACTGTAGAGAAAAACAATAAGCTCACTTTTAAAAAAAAATGTTTCTCCAATCTTTTCAAGTTGTTATTCATTGTAGACTGACATCAGTTGGAGGGACAAAGGAAATCTGGGAGCACTGGACAGCCGTTTCGTCCTAGTATGGGACTCCTCAGCAGTGCGCACCCACGACCCCACCAGCAGGGATCGAACCCGCGACCTTCAGGTTCCGCAGCCAGCGCGTTATCATTGAGCCACTGGGTCAGAATCCAATGCTCCATATTTCCAACTTCTGTTAGCTCACGATATAGCGCAACCGCCACCCAATGTCATCGCTGAGTATTTTTCCTCATGGCCATCAGACTTTGACTCCACCGGTCACGACTTGTCATTGGAACTTCGGGAATACTTCTCGAAGTTAGTCACCAATGAGCACTAGTTCAATTAGATTTTGAGGTTGTTGTGGAGATTTGGAATTATTTCAAGTTGTTATTCATTGTAGACTGACATCAGTCTTTTCATAAAATCTTTAACATGAATACTAATGATAGAGATTTGAATATGCTAATTGTTTTTAGTATTAGCTTTTGAACTAATCGTTGTAGGTTCATCATTTCAGTGTATGGTTATAAAATTTGATTATTGAAGAGAATATACTTTTTATTATATAATCAAAGTACTTAGTCTAGAGACTTTTACTGTTTCTTCTAGTAACATCTCTGTCTCTCTTATTTAGCTTGTTGAATTCATTTGTTTCATATTACTTTACTTTTACATGAGAATAATTCATGTAGTTATCATACTTCATGAATGGAAACTTTTGTACATGTCAAATAGCAGAAACAAAGCATACCTATATTATTCATCCTCTGGAGAGATAACTGAGAAATTTGTTATTTTGTATAAGATTTTAGGTTATCAAGTGTTGAGTATACAACCAGTATTAATTCAATTTGGAGACTTGTTGGGGATTTATTGATTTCTGGTTGGTATTCCTAATGAATTGACACTAGTTGGAAAAACATTAGAAACCTGGGAGTATTGGGCAGCTGTTTCATCTAAGTATGCGACTCTTTAGCCATGTGAATCCATGACCTCACCCTGTCAGGGATCGAACTAAAGACTTTCAAGTACCCGTAGGCAGGATGTTAGCATTAAACCCACTGGGTCGGAATCTAATAGTCCATATTTCCAACTTCTGTCAGTTCATGATTGTGTTAAGCCTATTTTCATTGTTTTTAATTTATTTCTATCACCTGTTATTTATGATTATTGTAGTGCGCTACATATATTGTATTGTATTAATTCTACTTTTATCAACTTATATCATTGTCTTAAGCTGAATTTATCTCATTCATATCTTCTAGGATTTGATACTTATCCAGTCGTCGAAATTGAAAGATCTCCTTGAGAACTCAATTCAAAATATTGCCTTAGCTCATGTACATAAATGTCAGGTGTGTAAAAGACGAGCTTTAATTTGTGATTTATGTGAAGAACTTAACAAACCAATTTGGATACATGAATTTACCACTTATAAACGAGTACGTTTTTTTGTTAGTTTTCTATTAAATTTCATCTCTATCATAAGTTCTAGCACTGTTATGAAGTGTTTTTTTTTCCAGATGCTTATTGAACAGGGACTTTACGTAATATATCAAGATCATTATTGTGCATAAAAATTTATGTTGACAGTTTTTTTTGTTTACAGAGTCTTATTTATAAACATCTAGGCCATAACTGTTACGTATGTCTTGAAAGAAGCTGAGCTCTGAGTCAAGTGTATTCATTATATAGGTACATTTTAACATAATCCCAGCGTGTTTAGAAAATCGAAAACAAGATTTTCCTGTTGTTAATAGAAATTGGTTCTTGTGCTATAGTGAAGTATATATAATCAACCAAAATTGAGAAAAATATCTTGAATCTGATATCATAGATCTCTTCAGATCTTAAAGCATTGAAATTATTTGTTTTAGAAGAAATATGATGTGTGAAGTAAATGAAGATTGTCAACTTTGACCTTGTAAATACCGATCATTAGTTGTACTGATAATAAGATGAGCAAGTTCCTTTCACAAGGTGCTATTGTATTACTGATGTGTGTACATCAATTTGGGTATTTAGGCTTCTTGTGTAAAAACAAGGAAATATCCTTTAAAAGGCCTAGAGGATACAACGATTTGCATATATGATATTCATTGTATTATCCCACCGTTGACTGGACCGGATCGATCGATCTCTGTTGGCATATGGGCTCCTGCGCGGATGCCTTGATATGACCTGTATTTTCAACTTTAGTACTACTGATGGCCAGTGGCTAGCCATAGAATTTGTGACGCGCGTTTCGTCCTGTTTGGGACTTGTCAGCTGGATGTGCCCGCCTCCTGCCAAGGGTTGTTGTTCCTACTAAGACCAGAACTCGGGACTGGTGGCTTCAAACGCCAGAACGTTATCCACTCGACCACCAAGTCATGATAGTTACTTCTTGTGAGATGGGTATAGTTTTTAATGTTGCCGCTTGTATTATCTCATCGTTAGTTGAACTGAGTCGATCCCGGGTCCGAATCTTGATGGGAACAACATCGCTTACTGGGAAGCGAGTACATCCAGCTGCCGAGTCCCAAACGAAACGGGTGTTCTGTATTCCACTGCTACCCACTCTCCATCATTTATTTAGTTGACGATCCAAAAATCTTCGGTAAGAATGTTATGAACTTTCAGCAGTAAGAGTGTGGTTAGCGATCCTTACGAGACTCCACTCTAACAAGTATGTTGGGTTGAGTAGTAATCATTTATTTTCGCTACGAGGTAACCACTCGTAAACTGGATGAAAAGTTTTCCATAAACACTGTTACGACCTAGTATGGAAACTAGGTTATAGTGATGGATTGCATCAAAGACATGTTGGGTATCTAGATGAAGGATATGTACTTTGTTTTTTATCAATTGCACCTATCTGTTCGTCGAGTGTCATTAGTAGGTTAGTCGTACAGAAGCGGGTTTTTGTGCAGTTCTTTTTTTCAATTACAGTAAACTGTATAATATTCGAGGAAGTCAAATAAGCCGTCATGTACTGGAGCATCTAGTATCTTAGAATTATGCGAGAGTAAAGTTATTGGTCCATAAGTCGTTAGATTGCACCTTATACCTCTTTCATACACCAGTGTAATCCTTCTAGTTTTCCATGATTGTGGGAAGTGACATAGCAAGCAGCAAACTGAGAAGCAACTTCTGCAATTGTTTGTTATGTAATAGGATGAATGCTGTCAATTCGTAAGCCTCATTGGTTTACGGTAGATAACGTTACATCTGTGCCTACGTCATCGAAAGCCTGCATCGGTTGACACTGAGCAGTTTTGTCATCACTCATATTTTGGAGTATTCAGCGGTTGGTGAGCATTCTAACTCATAGCTATACTCTGCGGTTACTTCTATGATGAATAATTTAGAAATTGCACTTTTCAAAGATTTTCAGTTTGTCAAAACGAACTTTTGCAGTCATCTGTGAAGCATTCTACTAAACTATCTTGATATCTTGTCTAATAAAAGTATTGCACTAGTTTCAGGCATTCATATACTCCTCCAAAGCTGTGAATGTTTTGAGGCTACAAAATACTGATCAGAGTTGCTGTTTAACCTTGATTTTGAAAATTATATCTTCTTTTTCCATTGTACTTTTTGATATTACTGTTGTTACTGAGGTTGGGTAAGATTCCTGTGTAATCGCTTTTCCCTACAAGGGCATTAATGCTAATGTAATCCATCTTTGTTTGTAAGTACTTAGTCAAGTTTTGAAAGTACTTGATTTTCCCGCCATCTAGTAATAGTGTTTCCACTTTCTGTTGAATTCTTTTTCATTACAACTGTGAGGGGTCTGTCAAAAGTGTATTCTTGTAGTGCTTCTGAGCAGCTGTTGTAAAAATCAGTGGTAGGGTAGGTTGAAATAACCGATTTTAATGATACTGTCACTCCTTACTTGAATGTATCTCCTCATCACACCAACTAGACTATCATCATTGGTCAGCTCAGCAGACATCAGGTAGATCGCACCCACCGATGTGACACTTAGCCACCTCCTTTGGATTTGTTTTTCCATCTTCATGTAGTCTATTTTTATTTCTGATTCATCTGTAGGAGGGAGAATTGGAAACTATGTTTCGGTCGTTGTTGCTATTTTCAACTTTTCCTCTATGGATATATATTTTATGTAGTATGCCTTAGCAGTTGGTGTATCAACACAATATACTTTCAACACTGACTAGCTCTTGTTTATTTGCTCTCAGAGTAGTCTTTGTATGGTTCCAGATGTTCGCTATGCCGACCCCATAAGGGTCAGCAACGGTCTGTTTTTGATTGGTACATATATCATTTATTCGATGCTGAAAATGCAAGGGAAGGTTGACATAACCTGGTTATACATATGAAAGTGGACACTGAAACAATAAACTTTAGAGTCCACCCTTGATAGTCACGCAGTTTCTCGGTAATATAGAAAATGTGGTAAGATAACGGAAGGTGTATTGCGACGTGAAATTATGCGCAAAATATAACGGTTTACATATATTTACAATAGCTTTGGTTATTTCTAGGTTTTTCAAGAAGGGAATGTCCTATTGATTTTCTCTTTTCAACGAATCTGGTATTTACACGTAGGTTCATGTGCCTTTTCTCGAAACTCCTCAGCTAAACGATTGGTTGTGAAAAGCTACATGAATTTATTGTACACTAAAACGTTTCTGTCAGTCATTATTACTCATGACATTCCTCTGTAGATCTATTGGATTGCTTAGTAAACTTATCGTCGAATAGACTGGTTTCGCTTAATTATCTAGCCTTACTAGCCAGTCGATAAAGGCTTTGAGTTGAGTTCAGTTGAGTTAAATCACTAATACTTACTAATTAAATCATCCTCATTCTTAATTTTTGAATTCCAGTGATTCTCATATAATCTTATTTGTTAATAAATTGAATTTTAATTTCTTTGTAGTGTATCAATCCAGGTTGTTCAAAAGTGATGCATATTAGCTGTCTAATAATGGCAGATAAAGAATTAATGTCTACTATAGGCTGTTGTTTTGAACGTCGTTTTTCGTCAACTTCTCCATCAGATTGTTCTCAGTTAATATCATTAGATATACAATGTCGATCATGCAGAGATTATCATTTATCATTTACAGCTAATAACTCAGTTATTGGACACTATGCTGATCCTTTTATTCTACCTGAAGTATCTTCCTAAAAAAAACATATATGTATGTGTTTGCATGAGAAGCTCACTATTTTCTACTTTCATTGTATCCTATCTCGTGAAAAAAGTCATATGATGTAAGATATCCAGTGTGATCATGTGAATTGCCTAAATAACTGGTTTTATCTTTATACCTGTTAAATGCAGTCGTCTAACCTTAAAGGTTTGGCGGAACATTAATAAAGTTTATTCTAAAAGCGGTATTATACACGCAGATATCTACCTGCCAAACAACGATTACCTGTATAGGGTGTAATAAAGAATACCAAATGAAATAGAGTCAATCGAAAATGTTAACATGCAAACTATTTAAATTACTAAAATTGTTAAATGGTTCCCCAACTGATATCAGTCCATGATGAATACTGCTTCTAAATTAAAAATCCCCATTTATCTCAAAAATACATTACTGTATAGTGCTCTTTAGTGACTTGCTTCCAGATGGATATCGGGAAGGTATAATGAGAAGTCGTGACTTGTGGGGTCAACCAGTCGGAAGTGAAGTGCGTGCTAACTGAAGACCTTTGATGATAGTTGCGCTATGTCGTGAATTGACATAGGTTGAGAATTGTGAACCACTGGAAACTGACTTAGTGGCTGAATGGTTAACGTGTTCGCCGTGAAACCTGAAGGTCCTGAGTTTGATCCCTAGCCGGGTCTTTGGTGCGTACTGCTGAGGAGTTCCATACTAGGACGAGACAGCTGTCCAGTGCCCCCAGATTTCCACTAGTCCCCTATTTGATGTCAGTCCATGATGAGTACTACTTCTGTATATATGTTAGTTACTTTTGATAGGAGAGACAAGGCAAATCTGTAAACAGCCATAACTGTAAAGTAGAGGTTAAGCTGAGTTATTATTGGCTCATAAGAAGGTAGGGAAAATATCAGTTGAATCAAGGTCGATTGATGACAGAGATGCAATAAGAAGGCCACCTCAGTGAATAAAGAGTTTAAGGTAGGCAAAATCGTAAACAAAACATATCCAGCGAGCTGTTATCAGTCTATCTAACCCAGTCCTACAGGAGCCCATTAACGACCGGAATAGCGCAGTGGTAGTGTCTCTGATTGCAACTCTGGGGGATGAGGGTTCGCATCTCAAGCAGTACATCAGTTCCGTAGATCCAGCGCTTCCTGCCTATTGCTCCTATCCAACTAGCAGTTTCTGTTATGTTAGGAAATCTCTGCGAAGTTGCTGATTGTCTTCATCTGAAGACACACAAAAATGCATATCTTCTCTGTAGTATTTTGTAGTTGGGAGTGGTAATCATAATAATCGCTTTGTTCCAAGCAATATATATATATATATATATATATATATATATATATATATATATGATAGTATGGAATTCTCAGCATGTAATTTTTTAAAAATTTACTCCCAGAACAATACTTTCAGATGAAACAGTTATTGAACCGGAATGATGTTAGTAAAAATAGTATTCAAGGCAATAATGTGAAATAAGCAGCTAGTTCTGGATAAGTATCCGGTCCATAACGTAGAATCAACAGAAATATAAGCGTTATTTTGGTAGTGGCGGTTCATCCAGGCGATACAAATATCTGCAACTCAAGCTAAGCATCTAACGGATAGAAATATGATGTACATTTTTGCACCGAAAAGTCCATTTTCATATAATGTAACTTTTTTCTCTGGTTTGTTATTGACTCGAGAAACGGAGAGTTGGAAACAGTTTAAAAATGTTCAAGTGTACGTGAAACGTTTAATGGACATATTTAAATGATTAAAACAAAGTGAAAAGAAAGAATTTGATGAAAAGTATTCAATGGATAAATTTGATAGCCCATGGTTCAAGCAGGCCACCATCGGAATACTGTGGAGTTGTATATCATGTTACTTGTTACCCTTTATAAGAGTATATCTGTAGCATCAAGCGTATCCATGCTGGATAACTGATCCAAGTCATTGGCAATTAACTGCTTGGAATTTAAATTATTTACCGATTATCAAGTCATTGTTTTGAAGCTTCTCATACTTTTTAATCGAATTGTTATCTCAATCTAAGTAAAACGAAATGCAAAAGTTACTCTTAAGAAATTTATTACCAGTTTTTAACATGGTTGAGTAGCCTTTTCGCAGTGTAATACCAAACCACGAATCTAGCTTATTGATTATATGGCATTTTTACGTGTATATTTTATCAATCAACAATATTTTAGTGCAACAAATCTGTTGACATTAAATAAACTGACAACTAAGGTGTATGCTACAAATTTAGTAGTTAAATTGAAGAGCGATTCTGAGAGTAAACCAATTTCCGAGTTGAATGAATCCATCTACTATCATTTTGTAAACAACTGTAAAAATTTACTATAAGCGACTGTAAGAACGATAACTTTCCTCTTATCATAACACTTATCATAAAAATCAGCGAAGTCAAATTTGTTTGACTGATTGTTATTGCTAAAAGCTGCATAAATAATCAATCAAATACCTTTCATCTCTAGCTTTGTTAATTTTGAAACAGTTTAACTGATGTGCAAAGTATCATAGTAATTACTGCCTACTATTAATAATACTTAGCTTGTAGACTCCTCAACCGCTGAGAAGTCCCATACTAGGACGAAATAGGCGTCCAGTGCTCTCAGATTTCCATTATTCTTCCAACTGGTGTCAGTCTATGATGAATTTCAACCTGAAATCAAATAATCAGTCGCCACAAGCCTCAAGATGAAAATTAATCATGAAAGAGCATGGAAACCGAAATAATTAACCGGACAGAATATAAAATTGCATAATATGTGAAAATGATATCCAAGAAAAAGTATGATCAAGAGAAATATGGAAACAAAGGGAAGACGATATTGGGCTATTAAAATATATAAAAAACAACAAAATTGTGAATAATAGGAGAGAAATACACGTCGATGTATTATTAGCAACTTACTAAGTCTAAGGTAGCAATAAAGGTTGCATTAGTTTCTTTTGGACACCTAATTCTGGTTTCTCCATACATGTAGCAAGACCTTCTGCAGTATAGCGAAGACGGAAACGCCCCATTTTCGGTGGATTCATTTTCACCTTGTAGATGACTTTAAACGCTGAATCATTTGTGATGATGTGACCATTGTTGACAAGGTGTTCAATTACTGCACCAACTTGTCTAGGTTGATGTAACTCTATGAGTAAGTGAAGTAGTCGACCCATTCCACCGTTTTACTTCTTATCCTTAAATTGGATGTAGCTACAGACCAGTTTTGAAGCATCATTTTACATTTGACCGATTCGAAACACACCAAAAGCCTCAAAATTCCTCTCAGGGTGTTCAGAATACCTTTGATTTTGTCGGCGTTTTCAGTTAACTGAACAATACTGTTTGTACATATCCACCAGAGAGTAGTTCAAAGCATGAAAATTTAGAGGTATCTAGGGTTTGATGACAACTCTGTATAATCCGTTACATGGCTGCGTGAGTTTGAGTAGAAAGCCTTGATTAGCATTCAATAATTGCTTGATACTCGTTTTACAGTTAGACACTGTCACAACAACTCTCAGTTGGTGTTCACTGTTGCTTTCAGGTCGAGAAATAAGGCAGTTGTCGAGTTCTGGTAAGTTTGTTTGTACTTCAGAACCTGTTAGATGGTGATAATCTAATTGATGTACTCTCATTCAGGTCTGAAACCTGCCTGGTTTCCTTGAGTTTGTTGTTCTCAAGCTCCAATTAAGTGTTGTATAACTACGAACCCTAGAATTTCGGATACTATGGTAGTTAAGCATTCTCCTATGATTGTCACAACAAGACTTCTTTTCTTTCTTATGATATGAAATAATTAATAATCTCGTCTAGTATATTGTTTGGATGGAAACAGGTTTACTTTTTACATACAATACCTAGCAACTACGAAATGGGGATTTTCTGGGGCTATTTGTCCTTGGTTTTTACTGTCTTCTTGTGATTGTTAGTATTGAATCTCAAAACAGTTTGCTTATAACATTTCGAGAGACTTCTTTGTCCAACATTGTTTAATAATCTTAATGTTAGATTGGGAAAGTAGTTGTTCGACACTTACGATTTGTTTTTGTCTTTTAAAGATTATGGAGGTCAAGGGTATAACATATTTAATGTGGTTGGAAGCTGAAGCTGATGCCTTTTATTTTTCCTACACTTTAAACAGGCACCAAAACTGATTGGATTCTTTCTTAATTCCTAAAATAATCTTTGTTTCCTGTCATTTCTGATTGCGTTCGTAACATTGTCATTTTATCTTTCTGTGATTTATCTCTTAGTACAGCCTTTCTACCAGTCTCTTGTGCATTGAATGAAGTAATTTCACATGTTTCAGTCACTTCAGTCCTTCGATTTAGCCTATAGAAATTGTGGATTGAATTAAAAAGGCCAATCTAGCAACAACTGGGATGGCCAATGAGGTTTCTTCATTTCGAATTGAACAAGAGGAATATTAGTAGCAGAATTAGCATGCATGTATCTCTTAGGTCCTCCTCAGCTGCTTTATAACCTACAGAATATTATTAGTGTTACTACTTGTATTATACCGTCGTTGAGTGGACCGAACTGATTGGTCTCTGTTGGCATATAGTCTCCTGTGCAGATGCCTCAATATCCCTTTGTTCAGGTTATAGTAAATATGCATAGGGGCTAGCAGCAGCACAGGAGCCCATATGCCAATAGAGATCAGTCAATTCGGTCCAATCAACTTTAGTATAATACAAGCAATAACACTAAAACTATACTTGTCACACAAGATGTGGCTACCATGGCTCGGTGGTGCAGTGGATAACGCTCTCGCGTTTAAGGCGGTCGCTCAGAATTCTGGTGGGAACAACATCACTCACTAGGATGCAGGTACATCCAACTGACGAGTCCCAAATAGGACGAAATACGCATCCTGGATTCCATTGCTAGCCACTATCCATCTTTATGACAAAATATTATGTTCATAATTAAAAAAAGTTGTAGAATATACTTTCAAAAATCGATAAGAATGTTTCGGTTGAGACGAAAGATAAAGATTTAGGTTGATCAAGATTGATGAAGTTGTCAAGACTACTAAAAAGTGTTAATCATTTACGCAATGATAGAATGAATATTCTAGAGAAAATAGTAACGTATATATTTATTTATTGAGTTTGGGGGTTTGTAGGGATATATTAATTGATTTCAGGTTGGAATTCATCATGGACTGACTTCAGTTGAAGAAACATTGAGAACCTGGGAGCACTGGACAACTGTTTCGTCCTAGTATGGAACTCCTCAGAAGTGTGCATTCAGCACCCTACACTTTCAGGTTTCGTAGCCAGCACGTTAATATTGAGCCACTATGTCGGAATACAATGGTTCACATTTCCTACTTCAATTAGTTCACGATATATCGTCACCTTCATCCAATGTCGTCGCTGAGTAACTGTTACGGCAATTCAAGTAAGCTAGCTTTCTTAGCCACACCGATGTGTGTTTATCAGTTCACCTGCTCATGTGGAGTAAGTTATATTGGACGTACTCAGCTTTCGCTTTCCAAACGCATTTCGAAGCATATGGCAGTTTGATTCCACAAAAGAGAAAGAAGGACACTTCACAGCTTTATTTTAGAATATTTGATCGATTATGACCACTCGATAAATGCAGAAAATAACGTCAGTGTCCTCTGTAGAGTTTGCGCAAGTCTCGTACAAAATGTACGCCTAAAACGTCTTCAAACTATGGAAGGAATGGCAATTAATATTTTGGAGCGTGAACTCTACATTCGAAAGAAATTTGTCCAGTCAATTGAGTTGCAATGGGCATAACTTATAACAACATTTTTATCTTCAAAAACCTTTTCATTCAGATCTTCTCACACATCAGACTTTTCCACTTCTGTAATTTTGCTTTCTCTTTATATTCAATGTGTTATATCATTTAATTTAATAACCAAATATTGGTTGCGTCTTGGTAAGTCTTCTTTACATTTCTATTCTGAACATTACGTAATTCTTTTTTTACGATTTCCTGATTTATGATCAAATCTGAACTTCATTCAAAATATCCCATGAAACATTCGTTTTATGTTGCTATTTGAACAGCATATTTATATGCAATTTTACTGCTTGTGAATGATATCGCTGAAAAGCGTGACTGTTTGCTAAAAGTCTTTTGTTTTATCAGTTGATGGAGATTTTTTACTACGATTACTCAGGATTTAACCAAGTATTTTATAAGATTAACTTGTCCTCCATCACTTTGTCATGTTGTGTATTTCTTCTAATCTTATCACATTCATC